GGTGGAATTACAGCACTGTCTTCGTTATTTTTATATTGTTCCGTAGGTACATCTTGCATTTTTTCATCTATATTCGGTGATACTTCGCTGATTGAAGAGGATTCTGGTGCATCACTTACTACTGGTGTTGAATAAGAATCAACTGAACCTGTATTAAAATTCGGAGGAATCACTGCGCTGTCTTCATTATTTCTATATTGTTCCGTAGGCACATTTTGTATTTCTTCATTTATATTCGGTGAAACGTCGCTGATTGGAGATGATTCCGGTACATTACTTATTGTTGGTGTCGAGTACGAATCAACCGAATCTGTACTGAAATTCGGTGAAATCACAGCACTGTCTTCATCGTTTTTATATTGTTCTGTAGGCGCATCTTTAATTTTTTCATCTATATTCGATGATACATCACTGATTGAAGGAGATTCTGGTATTTCACTTACTGTTGGTGCCGAGTACGAATCAACTGAATCAGTATTAAAATTCGGTGGAATCACAGCACTGTCTCCGTTATTTTTATATTGTTCCATAGGCACATCTTGCATTTTTTCATCTATATTCGGTGACACTTCGCTGATTGGAGGGAATTCTGGTACATCACTTACTGTTGATGCCGAGTATGGATCTGTGTTGAAATTCGGTGGAATTACAGCACTGTCCTCGTTATTTTTATATTGTTCCGTAGGTACACCTTGCATTTTTTCATCTATATTCGGTGATACATCGCTAATTGGAGGGAATTCTGGTGCATTTATTGCTGGTGTCGGATCAATTGCTTCGGTGTTGAAATTTGATAGCGTCATTGTGCTGTCTTTGATATTTTTATACTGTTCTGTAGTTACATCCTGTGTTGCTTTATTTAATTTTGATAATATGTAACTGCCCGAAGAGAACGGTGCCGTGTCAGTTGTCTCACTGTCCACGTCAGCATTTGCACGATACTCCGGTTTGATTGAGGTCATAGAAGTCGTGATAGAATGCGGTGCATCATTGAGTTCTGTCGTTGATGGCGTGATCCGTAATCCTAATAATGACGATGATCCGTTCTCCTCGTTTTGTCCTTCGTCAGATGCTTTTTGCACAGAATCAGGCAGATTTGGAACTTGGCTGTGCATTATCTCTTCGTCAATACCGTCAGGAACTAAAACTTCTTTGACTGAATCTGATACATCCATATTACTTTCATTATTGTTATTCTCTAACAGTGTGCCTGTTACACTTCCAGGGGTAGTAATAATATCATCATAAATTTTAGAATTTACATTTTCCTTCTTTTCTACAATAGGATTGTCTACGCTGGCCGTATTTTCTTCGAGTATTTCAGAAGTTTCTTTCACATTTCTTTCTTCAGCTTCATTGACACTTGGAGATTCCACATTCTCGCCCGGCGCATCCGGAACACAGACTGTATCCACCGAGTTATTGTTCTGGCAGTCCGGCACAATGTTGCAGACTCCTCTGTCCACTTGATATCCCGTGTTCTGTGGACATTTTAAAACGCTCTGATAGAATCGATGTCCGTTCGTTTCGCACGTGTAAAACATAGAACAGTGGCCGAGCACGGGAAATCGGCCGGATCTCGTGCAGCTTGGCACTCTAACGCGATCGAAATACATGTAGCTGTCCAGTGGGATAATATTGGGAGTTAGCTTGCTTGAATCGTAGTAGACACATCGTTGGAGACGATTGTCGAAGATCTGCCCGCTCGCACACTGCGCTAGGATTGATTTACCGCGTTTGCAGATGTGATAATATAAAGAGCTCTTGCAATGCGGCTTCAAGACGTTGAGGCCACAGGATCGTCTGTTTTCAACGTGAAGCACCTTGCCGCCTCCTGGCACGCCCAGACAACGTCCTTCCTCTTGATCATAGTACTGATTTAACTTGCAACAATGTATGCTTGCAATAAAGGGCTTAAGTGTTCGTCGACGCCGGATTACCTGCAGTTCCACAGCGTTTCTTTCTGTATCATCAGTGTACTGCAAAAATTATTCCTTCGATATAAAGATTAACACAGTAAAGTGAATAGAATGCTTAATAAAATTTACACCTTATTATTTGAAAAATAAATGTAATATATAAAAAATAATATATTTGCAATTTATTTTTTCTTTTAATATACTTCGAAATTTCAACAATACTTCTTTTGTTAGATTCACAAACTTCTCTTGAAATGTATTCTAGTTTTACTCTTTTCTTAAAAATTAGATGTTTAGATACGAATTGCATTATGATGATAAAATTGCTCACTCCAGAATTGCTCGTCGAACGATATACTATCGCAATTAATAGTAAGATTCCGAGCGGTAGAAGTAGAGTCTTCATAGTTGAAGTCATCGTACGAAGCGGCTCGTTTCTCAACCGACGTGCCGTCCCGAATACCGATTTAATGAAACGCGTCCGTCTTTTCAATCATGAGGGGATAACTTTAAAGAGCTCGTCGTGGAGGTGTGCAGATTTATATATTTTCATATCGGAAACGTGCCGGTTAATATGTACAAAAGGCGAAGTGACAATGCATCTTCGGTCGGCATCGTCTCAGGATTTCCGAGAACGCGAGATGTTCGTGCGCGAAACGCCGTTACCGAGCTGCCCGCACGAAAATAAAGGATAATAATGAACGCTTCTTGCTTTCGCATTTATATCAGAGGAACGAGAGATTGGGAACAAATGCGGGATCGCACGAATCGAATTACGTCGGTGCATCGACATTACAAAGTATAGCTTACAGTCTCGCGATAAATCGCTCAAGGCCGACTGAGTCATAATTGCGGTATTCGGCAGTTTGATATTTGTGTTCCGAGAAGAACTCCGGTCGGAATTGCAATGCATAATGAACGACGGAGAGCCTTAGAAATAAAAACAAAGTTTATTATTTAATTATATCAATTGACAATACGTAAATCAGTAGTAAATCTTTATATATACAGTATTTTTCGTTGAGAGAGACGAATATCTACAAGTTAACACGTTCGGCTTATCTATTAGAATAGAATACAAAGATTAATTTACATTGAAATATATATAAAACGAAATAGGACTCCACTCTAGGATTTATACATCGTTGCTCGCGACAGAAGCAGAAGCTATTATACAATTATATATATATATTTTTTAGAGAAGTCGTCATTCATGCGCTTCGGGTATGCCGGTTTCTCTCAGCAGTCGTATTGTGGCACTCTGTACGTAAAATTGTTGCTCCTTATGATGTTTATTCCGGCACCGTAATATGGCATCACGTAGTGCGAACCGTCCGCCGGCCCTACGATTTGCGTGGCTATCAGAATCACGTCGGCGAACTGGCCAAGGAAGAGAAATCCCAGCGTGCTTAGCTTGAGCAGGCCCAGGGCGGGATATCCGAGGTAAAATCGATCCGCGCCGAACATACCGAGAAATATCGACAGCAGCAACGACGTCTCAAAGGAATATCCATTTCTGAAAGCGATAATTCTAATGTAAATGTCCAAAAATCTTATAACAAACCTGAGGTACTTAATTATGGACATCCAAAAGTCACACTTACGTCCATTTGCATGGTATATCCTTCTTGAACGTGTTATTCTTCGTTTCTATGCAGATGAGGCGATCGGCAGCTAGACACAGCACTGTGGAAAACAAGAAATTACGTTTAGTTTCGTCAGAATTATAATTTCGAGGATTCGCTCGCCCGCAAACCGTTATTTCCGAATGTACGACAATATGAGAGAAAACATCACAGCGCAATGCAAAACGAAGGGTTACGAACAAAACAAAACAACTGCTCCAACTGTCTACGCTTTACTTTTTTTTTGGAACGCGGAAAAATACGTGTCTGTCTCGCTTTATAAAAGTATAAAACGCCGAAAAAAATATAAAGGTGCGAAAGTGCGAAAGAACGTAACGCGGAGGAGAGATTGAGGTTAAGAGACACCGAGAGATTCTTGTCGTTCGAGAGGTAGAGCCCGCCTACCTTTGGCCTTGTTCTCCTTGGTGCAGCCGCGCGGCTGCTGCGTCTTCGGATCTATGAAATCATAATCGGGATGAGGACAGATGTATTGCCCCATTCGTAGGTTATTGCAGTCGACCTCGTACGTGTCCGCGCCATCGGACAGCGCGATCACCGGGAGGAGGACGAGCAGCCCGCTAAGGAGTCGCGCCGAACGGGACATGCCGTCTCATTTTACGCGACGTTACTCCGGCAACCACCGCGACATTGCCCGTCGCTTCCCACGATCACGAGACGACGGACGACGACGTTTGCATCCTCGTGTTTTGAAACGTCAGTCGGAGTCGGAGAATCGGAGACTGCCCGACTGTCGGGCTAGCCGTTCCGCGCATCGACGGAGTCGCCGCCAATTGTCATGCCCATGAGACGGTTCTTCAAACTACCCGCTGTGGATAAAATTACCCTCGCGTATGATAACAGCGAGAACCGATATAGGCACGTCACGCTGAGACACAAAATATTATTCCTGTTATTAGGAGAGCAGGACAGCAAGGAGGAAACACGAGATTAGCTGCACTTCATAATCCAACTTTTGCCTTATTAGTATCCTTCACTGAGAAAAAAAATTGTTAATCTCAAGAAATATTTAGTTCGATACGTTCAACTAAACATTTTAGTTAGTTAACTAAATATTGGTTGTTTCAACAATTTATTTCATTTCTTTAATCAAGAATTAATTAATTCAACTAATGTTTAGTTAACTAACTAAAATGTTTAGTTGAACGTATCGGACTAAATATTTCTTGGGATTGACACTTTTTTTTTCTCAGTATTGTAATAGCGACATTCAGCCTTCGATAATGAGAATTTCGGCGGATAAACGTAAAAGAATAAACATGAGCAATAAATGAGCATTTATTACAAAACCATGCAATGATTTAAAATTTTAAAAGATTGTGCTTCGCACAAAGTCAACAGAAACGAATCGCTGTTGGAGTAGGCGC